CAGGGCGCCGCACTCGATCGTCGACCGGCGCGGCTCAGAAAAGTCGGAGCTGCCTCCGCAAGTGTCGCTGCCGCTGCCGCCGCTGTCGCTGCCGCCGCTGTCGCTGCCGCCGCTGTCGCTGCCGCCGCTGTCGCTGCCGCCGCTGTCGCCGCCGCCGCTCCCGCCGCCGCCGCCGCCGAGCGCCGGCCGCCTCGACCGGCGCGGCCCGGTCCACAGCAAGGACCTCCAAGAGTCCTCCGGGTCCGACGCCTCGACCGGCGCCTGCTGCGAGGCCCACGGCGGCCGGCCTGCAGACAAGGGGAGGAGGGCGTCGCTTAGACTCGAGGCGAGGAGGAGGAGGAGACGCACGCGAGCTCCGTCGGCTCGCCTCCCGAGCCGCTTGCGGGCCCGCCCCGAGCGACTCCCTCCTCCGGCGGGGCGGCGTCGAGCGGCAGCCAGGGGAAGCCGCCCGCAGAGCCGGCCCGCGAGGCTGCAAGCGAGGAGGCGGCGGGGGAGGAGGCGGCGGGGGAGGAGGCGGCGGGGGAGGAGGCGGCGGGGGAGGAGGCGGCGGGGGAGGAGGCGGCGGGGGAGGAGGCGGCGGGGGAGGAGGCGGCGGGGGAGGCGTCTCCCTCGCTCGAGTCGCCCTCGTACTCGCACCCCGTCACCTCGACCCACTTGGAGCCGGCAGCGTCCGCAGCGGTGTCGACCCACTCCTCGGTGTTGCAGCCGCGCTTGCTCACTCCCCTGCGCCCAGCCGCGGCAGTGTGCGAGCGGCCTCTTTCTCTCGCGCGGCATGTGCGTGCATCCTCCGGCTCTCAGAGCTCCGGCTCTCAGCTAGGGGCGACCGGCTCGGAGGCGCCGTCCGGCCCGACGAGCCTCGCGCGAGCAAGTGCCGCAGCAGGATCTGCAGCCGCTCCGCGCGCCACGCCCGCCTCTCGCGCCGCGCCGCCCACACGACGCCGCACGCGACCGCGCCCGAGGAGAGAGCGAGGAGCAGCGAGGCGCACGCGACGCCTCGCAGCCACGCGAGCTCCGCCGAGGCGGAGGCGTCGAGCTCGCAGGCCAGCGCGAGCACCTCCCTGGCCAGCCCCTCCCTGGCCAGCCCCTCCTTTGCCACGGCCTCCTTTGCCAGGGCCTCCAGGCCGACGCGCAGCCGGGAGGAGGGTGGTCTGCTGCAAACCTCACTCGCAAGCTTGAGGGTTCCGGGGCCCGCAGGGCCGCTCGGCCAGCCCGGATGCGCTTCGCGGCGAGGGTGCGAGCCCGAGACAGAGCGGCGGTGCGCAGCTCCGACCCCAGGCATACCGAGGAGAGGCGAAGGCGGAGGGAGGCTCGGCGTCGGGGTCGCATGCGCTACCACACACGGAGGGGGGAGGGG